TCCACACATTTCACAACTTCAACTGTAAGCCAACATACGAAAGACTATGTGATCATGAATTTACCATGGTAACTCGGAACTGGGATTTTCTTTCACATGGCTTACATCCTTACATCTGCTATGCAACTCAAACCTGCAAGCCTAGAAGAAAAATATATATTGGATTCGTAGCATGTTTTTAATAAATGTAGACTAGATGCTTCTTCGCGAAGCCTTTCGAAGGCTGTGCAAAGGCCCAACGAAGGCTGAAAATCACCATGAAACAGCAAGTAGCTTGGCTGCCTTTCTAGAGTCTAGAGTGTATTTTACCCATAAGGCCCTGTATGATTTGGCCGGTTTGATACCTTCCTGCTTGGCGGACGCAATTTTATATTTTAACATTATCTATGCCTGCTTCTGATGATAAATAAATTAATTTTTCTAAGAACAACATTACTATAATGCGTGCCAAAAAATGATGTTCAAAGGAAGTTTCATAGAGGAAACTCCCAGTCACAGATGGTTTTTCAATAGCATTACTGTAGCCCAAAGATCATTGTGTCCAGTTGGCATGTTCCTGAAGCAGAGGAGTAGCTCAAAAGATCATTGTGTCCAGTTGGCATGTTCCTCAAGTAGAGAAATAGCTTAAAAAATCATTGTGTCCAGTTGGCATGTTCCTCAAGTAGAGAAATAGCTCAAAAAATCATTGTGTCCAGTTGGCATGTTCATCAAGTAGAGAAGTAGCTGAAAAGATCATTGTGTCTGGCATGTTCCTGAAGGCAGGGGAAAGTGGAGTAGAGCAGAGTAGACTAGAGTACAGTAGAGCAGAGCAGAGAAGAGTAGAGTAGAATAGAGCAGAGTAGAATTAGAATAAAGTAGAATGAGATTGGAATTAGAGCAGAATTAGAGTAGAGTAGAGTAGAGGTCGCGTAGAGTAGAGGTAGAGTAGAGGTAGGGTAGAGGTCGCGTAGAGTAGAGTAGGGTGGAGTAAAGGTAGTGTAGAGTAGAGACGAGTAGAATAGAGTAGGGTTAAGTACAGCTCGAGTCGAGTCCAGTCGAGTCGAGCCGAGTCGAGTAGAGTAGAGGTCGAGTGAGCAAAGTAGAGGAAGAAATTAGAGCCGAATAAAGGTAGACTAAAATGGTGAAGACTAGACTAGATCGTATGGAACTGCTACGAGATCTGAATACTAGGATTTGCAGGAAATATTTTACCTATTTTTAGAAGCCACTTGTGGAATACAACAATAGAAATCTATTTCTATTCTTTTTCGTATTTTTTCTGGTAATTCTTTTTATATTCTTCTATGTTTGGATAATTTTTTGGAATTAATAAAAAAATTGGAAAGAATTGAATAAAATTACAACAAAAAATGGAAAACAATTGAAAAAAATTATTAAAAAAATGGAAAAAAATTGAAAAGAATTATAAGAAAAATGAAAAAAATTAAAAAAAATAAATGTATTTAATATTATTTTTAATTAAAATAATAAAAATTATTATAATTTTTTTAATTTTTTGATATATTTTTGGGAATATATATTAGAGGTCTCCTAAAAAGAACCAAGAAATATTGTATTTTTTTGTTTCGGGTAAATAGACATTTTGTTTGGCTTATTTATATTATTTACACGATAATTTCAATTAGTTATTACTTTGGATTCGAATCCTGAATATTATAATATTAATTAAAATATCTAAATAATTAATTAAATATGAATTTTAATTTAATTAATTACATTAATATATTTAATAATTTAATTTTTGAAATTATTAATAAAATTAATATATTAAAATTTAAATAAATATATAAATTAATATATATAAATAATTATATATATATTATTTTAAATAAATAATTAATTTATTAAAAAAATAATTATATAAATATATTATTATATTAATAATATAAAATTGAATTATTTAAAATATATTTTTTTTTTTTTAAATATTATTAACATAAATAATAATAAACAATATAATTATTTAGAAAATTATAAATTAAATTATATATTTATTTAATACATATTTAATTTGGAAAAATATTAATATAAGAAAATAATAAATTTTATATATTTTATACAATAAAATTATTAGAAATAATTTTAAATTATTTATAAATTTTTATTAAAATATAGAAAAAAATAATAATTCTAATATTATTATTTTATTTTTTTATTTTATATATTATTTTATTATATCTTATTCTTGATCTTGGTTTTATATAATTTATTTAATTATTTATAAATATTTGATTTTTTTTTTAAAAAAACTTATAATTTTGGTCCTTGAAATTATAAAACAAATTTTTTATTTTTAACAATTTGGAAATATTGGAAATTATGGAAAAATAATATTTCCGAACAAATCTGAAATCTGCGGATTCGTTCCGAACCATTCTAGAAACCTCTACCCCAAGAAAAACATATAAATTAATTCTATATCAAAATTCCCGGGAATAGGAAAATATGAATAAATTTGAATTATTCCGAATATAATAATTTTAATTTGAGAATAATTTATTATTATCCTTAAAATTCGCATTTTTAATATTATATAGATTTTGATAAATATTAAATCATTGGTCAAGATATTATTAATAATATTTTTTTATTAATTAAATAAAATAATAATAATAATAATAATTTCAATATCATATTTCTAATTATATTGCATATTTTTTGTATCCAATTCAAATTTGGAGGGAAGAAATCCAATAATGGGAATAATTTCTATTTTCTTATAAGATATAAATAATATAATTTTATTTTATATATTTAAATATATATAAAATAATTTCCAATTAATAAAATTTAAATATTAATAAATTAATAAAATCCGATTTCAATATTTATTCCTTTCATTAAAATATTTCTTTATTTCTATTTATATTTAAATTCCTTATTATAAATTAAAACAAATATTTATAGATATATATATTATATTTATTATAAAACAAAAAACAATAAAATAAATAATAAATATATCATTATTCCAATTTCCAGCAGAGAATGGGAGGCCTTGTGCCCGATATAAAAGGCATTTCATAAAGGAAAAATAATAAAATTGGGTGGGGTCCTGTATTTTAGAAAAATTAATTAGGAATTATATTTTAGAATAATTTAGTGGTAGGATCACGGATTTTTTTTTTAATTATTAAAAATTATTTTATAGCAAGAAAAAATATCCTTCGAAAATAATATATTAAATTTTACATTTATTTTATAATAAAATAAATTGTTCTTCAAATATTATTATTTTAAAATTCAAATATTATTATATATATATTAAAATAATAATAAATTATATATATTCCTTATATTAATTATAAATTCCATTTCTACAATAATAAACAATAATTTTAATTTATTAATAATAAAACTATTATTCGAATAATAATTTATTTTAAAATAAATAAAATAAATAAAATTATTAAGAAAATAAAATTATTTATATTATATAATAATCAAATTTAAAAATAAATATTATATTTTTAAAATAATAAATTTCATTCCCATAATTAAAATTCAAAATTTAATATCATATCCAAATAAATAAAAATTAATTTAAATAATAATTTATAATATCTAAATAATATATTATTTTTATCTAAATATATTTAATAAATATAAATATATAAATATAATTTAATTAATAATTTTTATAATTAATATTATATATATAAAAAAATATAATATATAATTAATAATATTAAATTTATTCCAAATTCCAAATATATATTATATTAAATTTTCATATATAAAATCAAATTAATAAATACTAATCTATTTTTATCATAAATATATTTAATTATTATTTTTTATTATATATATATATTTATTTATTTATTTCATTTTTTCCACCATTATTTTTTAAATATATTTCTTTATAATTTACAAAATTTATAATTTATTAATATATTATTTATTATTAATTAATTTAAATTATAATTTTAAACATTAACATATTATACATATATATAAAATTTATATATAATATTTATATAATATAATTATTAATTTTAAACACAAAAAAAAACATAAATATTAAATTATATATATATATTAAAATATATAAATAAATCTAGGAAATAATTTAAAATATATCAAAATATATATCTATATATAATTTTTAAATCAATATTTTTTTTATTATATAATAATAAATATATAATATATATTTTTAAAATTAAATATCATTATACAATAATATATTTATTTTTCAATTGGCCAAGTATATATCTGGAGCTAGCATTGGCCAGCACAGAAATGGAGCTGCGGTTGCGGTCTTCGGCCACGCATTGACAATGTCGTGGATGTGAAATGTCTTTCGGAGACCACCACAATAGCAACGCATGCAGCCCGGACATTGCATTTGCGAAAGTTCCTGCCCTTTCCGTTGCAGTTCCGCGCAGTGTGATGTTCTTCATTGTGCCGGTTGCGCTGCCTTGCTGGCATCCAGAACCTGGTGTGATTTGGAGTTCTGCTTCACTCCTCGTGCGCGCGAGTGGAAAATATGTGTTGCGTTTCTTCACTCTTCACTGTGTCACATGCGTGTTGTCGTTTTTCCTTCCACATTATCATCCGATCCCCTTCCCTGCACTGTTTGGGATCTCTTGACGGTGTAATATTGTTTTAAATATGTTAAAGGTATTATCTTCAAAATTGCTTACGCAGTGCCTATCCGGCGTGATAACCTATGTGCAACTGCATTTATAGGAAGGGTCTACCCAACGCCAAAGCGAGACTCCGGTAACTGGGCGATAGCCTACGCGGCGGATGGTGCTCTCAAAAAAAATGTTGCTCAAAAAATCAATACAGTATTCATTATAAATTCACATAGGAAATGATTTTTTGGATTATCTACAGTATTCATATTATATTCTTTATCTTGGGTTACTAACATGATGTCTGGAATTATATTGGTTCGCAGAGAGACGGGCAGAAATTGTAAGAGAAGCAAGATAATGCGCACCCCTTCATCATGTTCTATTATGAATCATGATTTTAAACATTCATTTTTTGACTGTCCCTTCTCAATTATTGTTCAAGAGGTTTGAGAATTTCCGATGGTTTGTCCATCGAAAATGTGTTCAACACCTTCAGGTTTCAATTTCAACAACAAAATCCCAATTTCAATAAATACCGTATCTGAGTGTCCTGAAGTTGTTGCTGGCTTTCGGCACGCAAGCCTTACGCTTAGATCAAAACCTCAGCGTTAAGACCCTCAGATTTTAGAGAGGCAGCGGTCAAAAGCCATAAAGACATCACGCCATGGTGTCGTTGAGATGCCTCAGCAATTTGGGATGGTCAGATTGCTGGGGGATTCGCGGCCTGAACCCCGACAAATTGCCATAGGAAAATGATAAACACTATGCTTAGGGATAGGACTTCGGGTTACCAATTTTTAGACAAACACATTTGTTTGGCGCACATTGAATTGAGGTGCCATGATCAAAGGACAACCTCTTGCAATACCAAACTTCAAGCAAGAGATCCCAGCACTTGTCCGATGATTTTAACATATGGGTTATAACGGTTAAATGTCGTCTTTCCACTTCGATATTGGCATTGGCAAAGCCAGGACACCTTCCCCACCTTCATTTCCTGAAGACCCAGGGGACCGCAGATGACGTTCTTCGTTTTGAATAAACCTTCCATGCATGGAAGTTCGTTTCTGGGATATCCAAAAAAGTCACTTAAAAATTTCCATCTTTGATGCCTAGATTCTTAGATGGCCTAGATGAACACGTATTTACCTCTTTGAACTCAATCACCCTATATCAATCAATCCAGAAATAAACATGTCTTTAATATATTTGTATTTTTCCGAATATTTTACCCTTTTTTAACAATATGTTCCCATATTCAACCAACATTTTTCCAATTATTAGTGTCCAATATTTTTCCGCATGAAAACTCCCACCAAATGTCCATCCACCATCCACACCACGTCCACGATCCACGATCCACGGCACGTTGTAGCGTGCCACCGTCCGCACGTGGTCGTGGCGCCGGAAGCGAGGAGGAGGGGACAGAGGGGGTGGACCCCAGACGCATGGCGGAATACCTTGGTGGCAGGGGACTGTCCATATCTGGTTGGTGGTATACCAACCCCTCTGAAAAATGATGGAGTTCGTCAGTTGGGATTATTATTCCCAAGATATGGAACAATAAAACATGTTCCAAACCACCAACCAGGTTTCTATCACTGGTACTTGTTCATGATCTCTTGTACTTGTTCATGAGCTCTTGTACTTGTCCAAAATGTCTACAAAATCATAATGATTAAATCCAGATCCAGGAATAAATCATGATGGTTCCTATAAGAAACATTTGAACGGTGTACACAATTTTCTGATCAACTATATTTATATAACCATTGGCATGGTGTATATCTATGGTCTATAATATGGCTAAGTGAAAAGGAAAATCCAACTATCTGGAATGATCTGCATCTATCTATAATGACGGGATAATGCATGAATCGTTAATATTTAACCTTAGTCACAAAATTAGATGGATTGTGATTATGAACATATAATCGCGTTACAGAAAGTTAGTTTCATGTATTTTCATGGTATTTTTCATCTTCTCATGGGATCAATATGGATTGAACAATGACATTTCACCATGATATAGATATGGATTAGATGTGATTATATTATATTGGACTAAGTATGGGATATTATGATATTATTAATATTGGATTAAAACTGGGATATGATTAATCAAAAAGATCAACAGCAGCCCCAAAAAAGAAAGGAAACCGTTGAACCGAAATGTCCTGGACACACTTTTCAGGAGTTGATATGCCATATATCCATACAAACATCGGATTAATGGATTTTAACATATCATAACCAAAAATTGGATGATGAACCTACAACAATTTTGTGGATCTTTTATTGTGATAGAAGGGTATCGGTATGATCATCAACAAGAGGAAAGAATCACCATCAACAATTGTGGATTCAAACAAGATAATTTAACCATTCAGAATTACATTTCACCACCAACCATAAACTTTAACATTGGAGAGTATGAACAGTTGCAGGGAAACCATCCCCAACAAATAACAAGGCCAACATTTCCTAATTCCAACTTCTTTGTGGTCTAAGTTCGCCAGTGAGAACTGGAATCATTTGTGCCAGCGCTGAACTCTGATGACACGAAACCACTTCGAGAAGTGGTTTCGATACCTCTGCACAAATTATCACCCTCAAAGATAATTCCATACAGATCTATGAACAACTTGGGCAGGATGATTCCGAATAACCCCCAAGAAACAAAATGATTTGGACGTTTGCCCAATAGTTGCCATTTGGTAATTTAACAGTTTGCTGTGGAAAACTGCCCATTTAGTTCGATGTTTTGCCTAAAATTTCCATGGTCGCTTTCCGCGGCAAACTGTTAATTTGTCAGAGGGGAACCCCCCAATTGCCCATCATTTTCTGAACTACAAAGCCATATTTTGGGTGGTTCATCCATATCAATCCCCCATGTATTGATTTGGCTATGGATCAATACCTATACATACCATTTTTAGGGGGATGAACATCCATTTACCAGCTATTTTTATGTTCACCAGGGGTACAAGGTTTTGACACACTGCCATTTACACACAATTATATACTGTGCTAGTGGTACTGGGCCGTACAACTCCAGCAGCCAACGTTTGTTCCGGTTCCGTCCAAGTGCCCACAACGAATCCCTCTTCGTCTCCAGCCAGATGCCCCGTGCCGTATTTCCTGAGAAGCGCTGGGAGATGGTGCAGGACTGGTGAGTTGAAGATGATCCAAAAAAAACATGGGAGAACATAACCCCTACAGTGTTGGGTCCCATGGGTCCTCTATACCTATGGAGTCCTATGGATCCTACGGCGCTATGGTTATCATGGGAGATATCCACAAAAATAACTGGAACTGCACTTGCAAGGATGGAACAGCCCTGTGGTGCACCAAGCATCGGATGGCTGCGGCACAAAAGTTCTCCGGTGGACTCCTTCCAAAGCTCCTGGGGACCAAAGAAATTGGACTCCTTGGGATCTGCAAGTTGGTTTATAAGTCCAATAACTATGGTTTATAGGTGATATATCTATAGTTAATGGGATTATAACCCATGTATAACTGGGGGGCACTACCTTGTGCAATTTGACATGTTTGTTGGGATAGAATAGGATATAAGATGATATAAGGTGTATAATGGATTTAATTATAGGAACATATTGGGATATATATTTCGGGATTTCGTTATCTTGATATCATGGGGTAATAATGGGTAATACATGGCCAATGCATGATTTACATTGATTTACCATATATAAACATGGGGATTTGACACTGGCTTAAAATGTGATATAATGTGAAGCTAACGGCATATATTATACAACTATAACCAACAATATTACAGTAGCTTACAAATTGCCTTTGCGGGTCCATGTGTTACTGAGTTATAACCAATTCTTCTTTAAAAATCACTACCAATCTTATACACCCTGCAAGCAACACCTTTTGAAAAATGGTTAGTGGATTAGTGTACCCCCAATGACAGAAACAGATTAAAGTATCCATCCAAGTTTTCTCCAATAAAGATTACAATACAACAAAATCCCATGGTGTATCAACATGTTCATGAAAATTGCAAGGTATCTCCCATGTCTGGAAAGCAAAGTGGTGTTTCCAAATTTCCAAAGCACTGATAGTCAATCCATTGCAAGGCTCAAACAGGAGTTGATCCCGGGCAACTGGTACTCCAATTACGGGCATAACATGGCAAGCATCTGAAAAGGTCCAGCTAGTAGGATGTCCCCTAAAATGTTACTTAACATTACTTAACATAATTTTTAACTTTAACATACATTTTATGCTACTTTTTGAAATCCATGGAATCCCATGGATTTATAAAGTCCCCAAAAATGGGCACGATTTTTTACCCGCACCAAATCCTGAGCGGAGCCAAGCATCGAGACCACTTCCTGCCACGTGTTGATGTCCCCAGGCATGGACGAGCTCAAACCTGAGGAATCTTCCACAGATCTTCCCAGCGAAACTGAACGAAATGGCACTTTTATAATGGGAAAATCATGAATAAATAAAGGATATTAAAGGTATAGATGATCCTTCCCAGCTAGAAACCTCCATATTTCTAGGGGATGTTGTCACGTTTGATTAGAGGGTAAATCCTTATCAATGAATAATGGATTGATGACCATGGTTAACGTGAGAAAAGGGATGCTGAAATGGCACACCCAATTTTGAGACACCCGAAAATGTGGTGAAACAGTGAAACATTTCCGATTTAAGAAGGGCGAGGATGCACCCTGTATTCTGGTTGAGGTCTTGTTTCAATGTCCCTCTTCGTATTGAAATTGATACATGCCGTATAAAAATGCACCAAGTAACAACAAATTCGATCTTCTGCACTCAGTAAAATGAACTCTGTAACTTCATCAAAGGCTTTCTGGAGTCCATGGGGGCTTCCATAGTCATGAGGGTACCTCAAAATGGATGGTTTACTTCATGGAAAATCCCAACTATTGGCATGGATGATGACTAGGGGTACCCCCATGACTTAGGAAACCTCCATTTATGAAACTCAAGACAGGGGCTCCAAGGACCTTGGCGGAATTTGATCTTCATTTCACTCTGATGGTGAAAAACCCCAAAGATAGCAAGTCAACTAGGCGCAGCTTCTCAAAATTGGGGGTGCAAAGAACACATAGTTCTGAATAAAAGAAAGTAGTTCCTAGTATGTTTGCTCATAGCCTCCCATTGTCGGTTGGCAAACATACAGTTCTTGGTTGGCGAAACCTCCTTTCAAGCCAATATCTGGGCTAGCGGCTACCTTTTTACCCCAGCTTTATTTGTTCTCATACCGATATTCTGGGTATTGGCTACAAATAATTGTATCTGTATGATACATTGTTTTTGCCGTTCTAAATATCTTTGAAATCGACCCTGGAGTGCATATCTTACTGATAAGTGTTGCAGAAATGGGTCATATATCTAGTTCGATGGAATGCCACCATGATGGCACAGTATATCCGAAATATCAGAAGTAAGAACCACCAACCAAGATGACTTGGTGAATATAACCCATCATCCCTGCGTTTGCTGATACCATCACCCTTAATCCCTATTCAAGCTGATTGATATTCCCATCAGATTTGCTGAGCAAGAGCTGGACATCCAATCACATCCCTTTATTCCCCCAAAAGACACCTGCATCTGAGGGCCCCCAAAAACGGGGAAATCCTGGCTACTGAGGGCCAGAATAGGGGGATTGTTTCACATTGGGGAAGGGCTTCCTATCCTACTTTTTTAGATGCGAACTATTCATATGAGCCATGGTCATCCCATCCATAATAAGGATCCTTATAATGGTTATTAACCATGAGTCATGAGTATTGACCATAGCTCATATGCTTCCATGTGAGCCATTCCACATACCCGCTTTTCCTATCTCATGAAATACTCATTGGTTGATACCCCCAAAATTCATCCATATTCCCGGTATGGGTTTTGTATACCTCCCTTTAAAACAACAAAACGCACGCAATCAACAGACGTATTTTTCATGGTTCCAGATAAACTCTGGTGCTTTGTCGTCAGCCCATCCCAGAGGAATTTCGACCGAGATTCTCTTCGTTGGGATCTGTACCGTTGCTGCTGGGCACATCGAAATACTCAACGCTGGAAATCACCTTCGGCGCTGGAAATACCGTCAGATGGACCAAAGTTGGTGAGATTTCGGGGGACACAATTTGCTATATGTGTTTATAGTCTATCGAATCTATAAATAATATATATATACACAGTATATAACTATATATATATTGTATATGGTTTGGGGGTTTATATAATGGAGAGGGACATGTTCCATAAGCAATATGGATATGACATATATATATATGTATCATAAGCTCTGAGAAACAGGAGTTTACACAACCAACAAACATGTCACCCATCTATGCTGTTTTCTGACCTTGGAAATTGGAAGCTATCTTTTCAGCAATCTCGGACGTCAACAAATTTGGGACGGTCCCATCGCTTCCCCCATGTTTGTACAAACATGATGTACGTATGGCATTTTGGGTGGTACAGTATCGCTCAAAGGTATGTGCACACTACACAGGTATGACATAACCTTCACGGGGGTATCGCTGTTTGGGAAGGTACCATGGCTTACCTCATGTTTGTACAATTTCTGAAAGCCAATGTCCGTCCCGTACATGTATCCTGCCCGAGCGACGTGTTCACACTGCTCTGGCGGGGTTCCTGCGAGCTGGGAACTGATGGGTCAACATTATGAGCCTGAAAAACTCGATGGTGAATACATGTTCATACCACAACATTACCAACTTTTGCTTCCTAAATCTTGACGCATGCCAATGTGGTTTGGGTATGACCAAAACAGTTTTCTTGACTATGGGCCCATAAAATCCAATGGTTTCTGATCTATCGGCATTTTCCCTATGGAAATGGCCATACCATAGAGAACACCATACGGTAACATGGGTATTGTGGGTATCCCCCAGAGATACAGTCGGTCCAGGGCTGCACTGAGGGATGTCATACTCCAGATTTGCAAAGTAGGAACCTGTCACCAGGCTCGGATGCAACAACATCCACAACGGTGGAAACAACCAAACAAAACTGAACAAACAAATAACCGTTCAGCTTCATTCAACATCTAGAACCAAACATCATGATTAATTGCAAAACAACCTCAGTTCAAACCATTAAACTATTTCTATGTTCAATCAATCTTTTTTTAGTGTTGATGTTTTTTCAGTAAAAAATATTGGATTTCAAAGGATTTCCCAGCTCACACCTGGCTTTTCACATCAACCAACCATCAACCAACCATCAACCAACCAGCATCAAATGGGGAGTCATCAGATCAACAAAGTCTTCTTGATGGTCATGCTTGGTCGTATTCCCATGATTCCCATAGGCCATAATCAGGATGAGGGCTATCCAAAAGAAAAAAATGTGGTAAATCGGAAAACTCGTAGCTCTTTGGTTCCCAATGGACAATCAGAAAAGACACCCATAGTTTCGAACCGCTCCCTTCTAACCACCAAATATCATTAATCATATTCACATTATATCATATCCCATAAAATCACCAAATAGAAATTCTCAGAAGGCTTCTATATCAATTTCAAATTATATCCAATCATTATATACCAATTTCATCCAATTTCCCATCTTTTTCATCCTTTCCATTCCGGACAGGAACTGTTCGACAGATAGCCCCCGGTGGCATCGCAACAGCTCGGCTGCATGGTGCCCTTGGCAGTCAGGACCTCTGGCGCATCAGGCTCGTAATACCTGAGGCCAGGCAAGGTCTTACCCATGGGGATTTGCCCAAAAATTCGACATTTACTTAGGAAAAAACACCCAAACATGGGCAGTTCACATGGAACAATGGTGATTTCATGGAACTTCAGGAATCACTGATGGTTTTCTTGGGCTTTTAAACGAGTAGATATGAGGATATTTATGTTTTTTTTTCCATTTTTCCATTGGTTTTTTACGCTGCCACCATAACCATCCCCGGCCCAACCCAGCGGCTCGAAGGTGAACTTCGCCTCTATCTGATCCACCGGGGCATCGGGGCCCGGGAGCTCCTCCGTCAGAAAGATGCCGTGCTCACAGCAGCGGTAGCCACCTGACATCGGCATGGGAGATTCGTAGCTCCAAACAGCGTTTTCCATGGAAAAATAGGGAATATGATGGAATATGTACATTAAATATTATCAAATTATATTCATATATTATCCATGACTCATTAGTTCCCTCCTAACCACTGGAGAGTTTGTTGACCGTTTTCAGTTGCGTTTTGTGGATGGTGGGGTGGACGTGGGAGGTCACTTACATTCATTTACCATGTTTGAAAAAAGGAGGTCATTCACCATTTTTATCTCCTGTATCACTCGTTGCCGTCTTTTGTCAAAAAAGCACAGCAGGGCTGAAATTTCTACGGCTTTGTCAGGTTGCCATTCAGCTGTCGATTGGCTTGGATTGCTGAAGGGGTTCCAACAGAAGTAACAAATAATCCTATACGATAAGATCATATAAAACAAATTGCCCATATATATAATATAATATAATATAATATAATATTATAATATAATATAATATAATATATATATGTATAATTTCAATATAATATATAAAAATATAATATAATATAATATATAGTAATAATAATAATAAAAATAATAACAATAATAATATTATAATATATACATAATATGTTTATACATATATATATATATATAAATGCCCATATAATGCCCCATAGGTATTCCTATAGCAAATTCCCCAAAAGGGTGACTAACCAGTGGGAAAATCAAGAAATCTTCAGAACATCCAGGCTTTTTCTCAACGCTCAGGAACCTTGATACGTAGCAAGGCTGCAGGCAGTGTTCTTCTCCTGAATCAACTGCTCCTGAGGTCACAGCGCTAGGGATACATAGGGACTTACAAAGCTGGTGGATTTTAAACAGCAAGAAACAAGTCAAATGAATGATGGATAAATGATGGATGAATGATGAGTGAATGATGAATGAATGCTGAATGAATGATGGATAGGGAGGGCTTCTCAGCAAGACTAGCTGGTGCCACCAGACAAATTGCTGTGTGACTGGGGGCCATGGGGGGATGTCATCCATTGCAATCCAGCACCATCTTGGGTGGTTGGAACCCTAGAAATCATGGGTATAAACCACCTATCAACTGGTGCAGGATTTCGCAACCATCCACAGTAGTATACATTAATGTTGTGGTTGACATTAGTAAGAAATTACCCAATCTTCCGACAATTCCAAAACAACCATCGCCCCAATTGACCCCTGCATGGTGTCGGGGGTTGGAAGATGAGTATCCACTAAACATGGGCTCTTTGAAAAGGGTCAACCGGTCAACCAGTCAATTAATTTGGAAGCTTCCCACAGGAAGCTTCACCCCCCAGTTATGTTTGTTGGTTTATAACCCCATCCAAATATCATTATGTGCGTATCATACGTATGATTCTTGTTATAGTCAGAAAAACGCACCAACTGAGCGATTCCGAACTGGGGCCTATGGCTATGGGCCCCATCCCGATCCGAATGGAGGTAGCATTCATCCAGTCGTCGACTCGTGGACCGCTGCCAAGGCGCTGAGCATTGGAAGGCGATGGGCTTCATGCCATCGATGGTGCTATTCGTCACATTAATCCTGGTGCGGTCCCCAAGGCCCGCTTTTCGGAATGTCTCTACCGGGTCAACGGTCGCAACTTCTTCATGAATATGACGCAAAAAAGAAAAAGCGACACATGGAATAGACTCAGTTGGAGAACTTACTGAACATTTACAAAATATCTATTTTGGCTGATAATTACTGAAAATTCATGAAAATTCCATCAAAATGGCAACATCTTCGGTTGAGAACATCATTTTCCCTATGAAAAATTGCGATATATTGCGATAAATCCCAGCTGTCATTTTATCTCCCCATTTGTTTATCTCCCCATTTGTTCGTTTGTGGGGCAAAAAAAAGAAACGAACCCGTTTCATACATTGTGATCACTGAGGTTTTAAGCATTGTGATAACCATGACTTACGGAAGACTTACGGACTCGCGGCAAGCTCCTACCCTTCTCAATTGCTAGATACGTTGACAGCACACCTATCCCAGCAAGTTCTGTACACACAGAGTCACAATAGCAAGGCAACTAAGATCGACTACAATTGCGCAAAAGCATCAACTATGCCAGGAATCAAAGCATGACATCTGCGCAAATTGCCAACTTCATTCCACTCTTTATGTTGTCTATACTGCATGAATAAAGGACTTTTAGCTGGGCCCATCACTTGGATGGCACGTCCAAAATGGTCGCAGTCTTGTTTTTGTCTTTGAAGAGTTAAAACGATGCCTTGTGATTTGAAACCTTGGCAACAGAAACGTAAGATGATTTACCATGATTTACCTGTAATTTCGCTCTTGAAGCAGTGTTTTTTTCCTATTTGTGAGGTTACAGTATAACAAATGATGCAAACAGTTTAAAACCATGCCCATGCATTTTGAAAACACATATTTGAAAATAGGGTATTCCTTACTAAATCCACTCGTTTGTTCTCACTATCCCTATCAAAATAACTGTAGCTGCTGTAACTCCCCCATTTTAAGACACAGCCACTTACATATAACTTGGCACCAAGTGTCTTGCGACGACTGGTGCAAGGACATTCCCACAGCTTTTGACCTCACAGGAGCTCACTCTGGCTGTAAATATGCAGCCTTTCATGCATCTTTGATAGAGAACTTTCCTTCCCTCAATGGAGAATGATTGGGTATTTTACTTCCAGATTGGATTGCCAATACCAGGCCTGGGTCATCTCATGTTCGACCGTCAAATGCCAACTCCCCATTTAGGTCGGGCCCAAGGGACTGGTTGGGACACCGTGGGTGTTGATGAAGTGCATCAAGACCATAAAACTCTGCGGGCTGTCCACTGTGTACCTGCCGACTGGGGGAATGGGACGACATGATTCACCAAGTTGGTTTATGGGATATCAATAGTGAATCAATTGCCATGGGATATATCCCATAGTTGATATCCCATTCACCATAATTGACAATGATTCACTGGGGGAATGGGAGCAGTGACCAAAACCTTTGGTTGGTTTATGGGATATCAGTTGCTCAAGACAGGGAGTTCTGCTGATTCAACATCCAAGAAATGGTTCCCAACTACAGGACAATATGCTCAGATCTCGCTGATACCGTTAAATCAACCCCTCCTCTTGATTCTGGACCTCTTGTTCAGGGCGCCAACAGCATGTCACTCTAGCCATCATTTTCATGGATGCAAGTCGCTTGGGATCCTCCCGTTTTCACCCCACAAAGGTGGTGTCCCAGTTCGTTCGCTACGTTCGCTATGTTTGTTTACTTCAGTAGGTTAACTGGGCTTTACCGTAGATTCGTAGACATAAGATGTATGTATCATAATAATTATAATTATATAAATTATATATCTATATCTCTATATACACACTCGATACTCTATACTTACAGTAATGAATGTGAATCGGCTTCAATTTCAACCAACAAATACAACTGTGAGGGCACCACCTTGTACCTCATATCAAATATCATCAAATATCACCGTCCATTCAGCATAATCATTCTGAATCGCGATTATACATATACTGATATATACTGCTTAACAAGTAACAACCATCAAAATACCATCAAATAATCACATCAAATCACCATCCCAGATCCAAGGCATCCAAGGCACGTGTAGTGCCCCGCCAGCCGTGTGCTGGTGCCGCGGTACTCCGCCCCGCTGGCGCCGCCGAAGGCGGCGATGCTCTCGCGGCGGCCTTCCGGCAACGCCTCCGTGAGGATGGCCTCGAAGGAGCGGCGCTTCCTCGGCCAGGCCGGAACGGGAGGCCGCAACGGCGGCCTAGGATCGGTATGGATCGTTAAGGGTCGTTAAAGTAGGGGGGAGGGTTGGGGGTACCATTTTTTATAGGTAAAAGATGGCTAAAGTATGGTCAAATCCGCAAATGATAGGTTAAATGATAGGGTTAGGGCAATGGGTTTACCACCTTATAACACCTTATAACTCAGAATTTTGAGAATCCAAGAGTTAAGCTAAGCCAACTTTTGACCAACACTAGAAAGGGATAGAAGGGTGTATTTAGCCAGCAAAAAGTGAAATTTCACCAGGAAACACTAGGGAATAATCCCACTTAGTGGTTAATAAGCATGGTTAGTTCACACATTTATAGATGGGTAAACGCACGAATCGGTGACTTACGATCACCAGGGTTATAGAGGCAGTTGGTTATTCAGCAGTTACTAACTGGGAACATCCTCCTAGTAGGCGATTTGGCAGTCCAGTAAACCAACTTTACCGGGTGCCGATCCATGTTGATCCAGGAGGTTCGGGCGTTCCCGTCGACATTTCTGGGGGGCAAAACATGGCAAAACGGAGGGGTCAATGAAGAACAGCATCTTCGGGCGCACCAAAAGATGAGGTGCAAGGTGCACCAACTTTTTTCATCATTTTTTCGTGATTCAACCATGTTCAATGATTCAACCAACATCAAGCAACATATTTTAAAAACCAATCCCAATGTTGGAAGATACAACCCGTCAAAGAATCTTGGGGATTTTGCAAACCCACATGTGGGGTGTTGCCCCCCCCAAAAATGAGGGGCTCAAGGAAAACAAATTAGGGTTCTCTTTTTACTTTAAAATCAGTAGGATTCAATGATTCAACACACTAAATGTGCGCTGTAACAACAAAAGAAAAGGTTCTACCAAGAATTTTTTCGGCCACAACCAAAATTGAGGAAACAATTGGAAACAATCCGGTGTTTTCCAGCAAAAAATAAACAACTTCTGCATACCTTTCGCCAACCAAATTTTGGCGCTTGACTGTGTTTTACCAGGAGAATTTGAGTTCAGCAAATGATGGGTAGTGCAAAGATGATCGAAACATTGGGTATCGGAACCAAGAGAGAATAAAGGGACAGAATGTGAATTCTGCCAACAAAAGTGCGGTGTTTAATCTCTTAAAACCGGCGCAGTATTGAATACATACAACATAGAGGTTGACCCAAAATGCTCAAAATGTAAGGCGTTGGCTGGCTTCTATCGTATCGCTTCTATCGTATCAAACATAGTCTTTCAAGAAGTATTAAGAATCTGAGTTTGAAGCAACGAAACATGTATACATTTGGACATCCTCACAACCACAATCTTACAGGATTTCCAGCGCAAAACCGATTGGGTAAATGCCCGGAGTGTAGTCTACATTCTTCAAATGTTCGGCACCAAACCATTCAAATCTCCTGTGGGAAATGTGTGATCTTCCTTGCGCCAAGGGTCATCATGCAGCCCCGGTGGTGCGCATGCTGCGCATGCTTGGTCTGGTTGGGGAAGCTGGATGGGTCGAGGGGATCGTGGCCCTTGGTGTAGTTGTAGAGCCTGCAATCTCTTGAGGCAAAAATTGAGAGCAGTGGTGGAAAATGGATCATTTTTGCTCCGATCTTTGGGTATTGAAGGAAAATGATCCAACCCATTTTTAGTTTGAAAGGTCAAGCCTATCACACGACACCTATTTTCTCAGGATTCAGCAATCACAAATATTTCGTGATAGATGATAGAAGTGCTTGCTGAAATCAGGCCAAAACCCATCAGATCATCATGCATCATAGGTTCATCGGAAGATTCCGTGTGAGATGGGCCTACCAGATCCTACCAGCTGTTGCTGAACCCACCTGGTCAATTTCACGACACCACAGGGTTTTTGAAACACGATCACCCACTCTTCGTTTCAACCTGTTTGGGAACCACGGGTAAATGGGGATGGGTCAAAACCCTCACCCTTTCACCCTTTCAGCGGAAGCAAACGCTCAGAATGTCGGAGTCGCTTGCTCGACACAAAGTGAAACTTCTGAACTCTAGTCAATCGCCGGTGGCAAGTCCGCCATGTCGCGAACAACCTGTCTGATGGGCAAGTGCTTCGCCCGCAGCTTGTAGAAATCGTCCACTGCAGCTTGGCGTTGAGCTGGAAGAGCAATCCGGATGCAGCCGCGCCAGAACGTCAAGATCATACTAGATGGCCTTCGTTGGTCCGTCTGCAGTGGAGACTGGATTGCTTTGGAAAGGTTTTGGAGGAAACGTCCGAACCACTGAACTTGTTGAGGATAACTGTAGGTGGCGTCAATGCCTCTAGCTACCCATTTTCTGCCATTGGTAAACGGGCCTTGTCGCTTGGTGAACATCTGATAATCTACCAACATCTGGTGATACGATACCCATGAAACTTCCAGCTGAGGGTCTATGACGCTTTGCAGCCATTGAAGAACATGAAAAGTTTCACCTACCTGCAAGTGCTTGGGAAAATCAGATACATGCTTACGGGACAACGCAAGGATACCTGGGTCAATTTCCTGGACATCGGAAGGCAGTTGTTGGGGAACGGAGGCATTATTTACAACTGAGGATGATTGCGCACGGACACCAATCTGTACAAACAGTTTATGGAGTGCAACACCAAATTTCCATGTGTTGGCCTGGTGCTCCTTGACAAGGCTCCATGTGTGCCAAAATTGTGCGGAGAGAGCTCTCCGTGCTTCAGCTGCATAAAGGTCTGCCATACTGTTGCCTTCAACGGCCCATGCATCAAGAACTGTTTCCTGATCTACGGGTTTTGCGTGAGCTTGCACTTTGCGGGCTGTGGTCACAAAAGGTCGTGCGTGTTGAAACTGACAATGCAATTGGTGCCACAGGTCGGCATCTTGCTTGTGTTGGTAAGGCGGGTCAAAGCCTTCGATCCATTGCTGGATCATTGTCTGTACACTCTCATTGTCGAACCACAACCTGCAAGGTTTGCATTGATCAACGCAAAACTTCATTGCGGAGATGGCGGCTGAGATCTCCGCTCGCAAACTGGTCTGCCTCCAACCTGGCACAACTCCACTGGCAACCAACTGGAAAAATTGTCCAGTCCAAACCACAAAGGCCCAACTAGCCACACGCAAATCAGCTTCTGTAGGAAAGGCACAGCTGCCATCCAAGAAAATGTCTGTGTAAAGTAGCTCGTTGGCCAAGGTACAAGGAAGATGTTTACCTGTGGTGTCTGGGATATTCAGGAAAAGGCGACGCAGGTTGATAAGATCTGGTGATCTGGGTAGCCAACCATGGCATGCAGTGCTCCGTGTCAGCTGGGCCACATCTGGCAGTGCTGGCAGTTGATCACGCAAGTCCTGGAAAAACGGGCACTCCCAGGTTCTGTGATACAGGCTGTCTCGTGCTCGGCAGAACCTGCATTGATCTGTGTCAGTGACCCCTGCATGACACAATGCATCGTTGGTATATTGTGTACCGTTAAGAGCGCAACGCATCAGCCCTTGTTGATCATCAGGCAATGTTTTCAGTGCTTTGGCTGTAAGGCGAACATCTGCTTGGGACAGACCCTTCATGGTGGTACGCAAGGCTTCAGTTGTTTCAAGAACTCTTTGCTGCCAGCCAAGGACAATCCGTTGCCGAAGTTCAGGTTTAGGGCACTGAAAAAGCAAAAGTGGCAAACCATCTTGATCAAGGCACAAATCCCCATTTATCCAAGTCCACGCAAGTTTGTGAACTGCCGCAAGAAAACTTTGACAAGGTCCTAAAGAACTGGTGTTTCCATTGGCAAGGTGGTCCAAGGTAAACTGGGCGAGGTCAGGGTCACAGTGGTTACGCAGCGCCATGATTGTGCTGTTGACACTATACATCTCTGGGTCTGTCATGGGTGGGCTTATGCAACCTAACTGCAGGTCAGGGTTGGCTCCTGTCTGATTGGTGTTGAGGGCTCTTGCACATTGGGAACGCAGGCGTTGAAAGTGATTGGCTCCAAGTGTGATGGTGCTGATGCCATAGAAAATGTTGGGCCAGGCGGACACTTTCAATGCCCTTTCCTTTTGCTTGGTGGGTGCACAAGATCTTGCAAGTCTGCTCCAGAAGGGCTGGAGTTCACGTATCTTATCTTGCACCGTGACATTTGTTCTCTTTTTGGAGTAGTTCATGTGGCCTCCGAGATCTCGAGCAAAGAACTTTCGGTTGTTTTGACTATCCAGGATAGCTTTTCGACCGGTTGTAGTAGTTGACCAAAAGTAGGACTTACTCTGGTCGATGTTTAAATCCATCAAGTCGCAAAAATCCATCAGTCCTTGTAAGGCTTGGATGGCGAGGTCGGCGCTGTCTGTCGTGCACTCTATGTTGTCAACAAATGACCAGAGTCTGACCGAAGGAAACCTGTAAAACATCCAAAGTTCCATCGTGATGTTGCAGATAGCCATACTGACTACACTCAGTGCACAACCTTCTGGATAACCTGTGGAGCTGGCAATGGCTTGACCCACGCAGGAACGCACTTGGAAACGTCTGCGCATCTGCTTGAGTGCATTTTCCCATGGTATCATGACACATTCGGGTATGCTGATCAGCCGAGCAATCATCATGAGGGGAGAACGGGGCAAGGCATTGAAACATTTCACAATGTCAATGACACTTCCTGCAACTTCGCCTTCATGGCAATAAGAATGCTCGATCACTTGTTGTACATGGAACCAAATTTTTTGAGGGCTTCGACCTGGAATGTTTCCCATCAATGTGTTTGGTACCAATCCCGCAAGGTAGCGGAGGCACTGTTTGGCTCGAATTGAGCTCCATGCCCTGTAAAACATCCCGAATATGCAGATAGGTCTGTATTGTTGCACCTTCTGCGCAGAAGGTACTTTGGCCAATGCTGAAACCAAACCTGTAACTGTTTGAGTGGGCCAAGAGGCCCCACGTTCAAGAGCTTGGATCAGATCCACCAGATCTGCAAGTGCTGTAGCTGGCATATGTAGCATGTCTTGCTTAGAAATGCCATCGGGTCCAACTGCAGCAAATTTACGCTTGGATGCGATAGCTTTGGTCAACATTTTGGTGCTGATGGGTGGAAACTGTGTGTGTCTGGGCGGCAAAACATGTTGCATGAATCCTACGATGGCATCCCACTTTTCGGCTGGGGCATCATCGTGTCGTTGCCACCTCGGAGCCCACTCTTGTTCAAAGGCGTTGAGAATGGCTGGAATGCTTGCTTCCACATGCTTAACCTTGATCTCTTCAGGGAGTTGTTCTGCGACAGCTTGTGGGACCTGAATGCAGTTAGGGCTTATAATCTTAACCGATGTCTCAATGTCATGAATTGGGATGCTATGCAATCCGGTGGGGATTGGTGAAGCAACTGTGATCTCAACCTGGTCATCGGCAAGAGGTGTGTGTTGGGAAACTGCAAGGCAGGATTCAACCACTATTGTTTGGACCGGCTCAGCTCTTTCACGCTGCAAATCACGGTAGATTTGTAGTGGGTCTTTAAGCCTTCGCTGGTTGGCATGCATGGTCTTTGCACATATCAAACTTTGTTCAAAGGCCCGGTAGACTTTGTTGTATTCCAAAAAGATGGCATTTGCCACGTTCTTGGGAGGTGGAGCACATGGTATCATGCAGGGTGTGTCAAGGAAAAGTTTGGGCAAGGTAGCCCACCATGTCCTGAAACCTCCTTGGAAGCCTGGTGCTTGCAAGATTTTTCCCCACAAGTTCGCCCGGTGCTCGTCAATGGTGGGTGTGCTTTCTGAGCCGGCACATCTGACAAAGTGTTGCAATCTGCGAAGCTGCCTGGTCCACCTGCTGTATTGCATGGAGCCTGAGGTGATGGCAGATTGTGCATCTCCACGGCGATTTTGACGGATAGGTGCAACTTGCTCTTGACTCCACTTCACCTCGGTTGTGCTGGCTCTACCTGTCTGGCAATGGGCCAATGGTGGTTGTCCATTTGCCTGGCTGAGTGCTGAGGCATAGCATTCCACATTGTGCCAGATTCTGCGGTACCAGTCATCAGTGTCCTCACTGGCTTCCGCATGATATGGCCAATCGATATTTTGCTGAGGCTTGGTGGGCCAATTGATGGATGCTGGCTTTCTCCACATAGGAACTACAGCTGGGCGATCCAGGTCGGTCAGGAAAACTTGGATGACTGCATGGTCACTGAACCTTGACCAAACCAATTGGATATCACACACATATGGTTGGATTTCTGGAGAAAGGAAAACATAATCCTTTATGGTGGTCCTGCGGCAGGTGGCTATTGGTGGAACTGTCCATCGGCGTGTGGCAAACTGCTGGGCTTCCAACCAACCCTTTGCTTCCCAGTAATCTGCCTGGTGCAGGTTATGACGCTCTTGGTTCCAATCACCTGTGACAATGCGTAAACCATGTGCTCCATCTACAACTCTACTGGTGAGGCCGTCCAAAAGGATACCTGTGCTTTGCTGAACATCTAGGCAATGTGACCTTTCGCTGTAGCCGTAGACTGTGCCTACTGTGATCCATCTATTTTGAACATGTGCAGCTGCGACATGGCATCTGCCTGTTTGGAATTGCTCTGCTGTCCAGTG